AGAAGCCAAGAAGGAATGCAGCGTACTGGTTACACAGGCAAACGAATCCCCCACCCCCACCCCTTATGGCAGCATAGCTGACATTCTGCCCTCTCAAAAACCAGCTTCTCCCGTCCACCCCGGGAGGTCTCCCGGTTATTCCGGGAGATCTCCTGGTTTGTCTGGGAATTCGCGATGGAACTTACGCAACAACCGAGGGGCCCGAATATCCCCTACTTCCACCCACTCGAGGTGCTGGGGACCAAAGTCCATCCATTCAACTAAATACAACAATTTTCCATGTTTAATCCTTGAGCCCAAATTTTTAGAAATCTCATAATGTTGCTCGCCCTCAATCAAGATAGGAGGGGGCACCGGCTTCGATGGATGCCAGGGACTTGACCCAGAATCCTGTTTTAGGAGGCTGAAATGAAATACAGAATGAAGGTTTCTCAAGTTTTTAGGCAGATCCAAATCCACAGCCACATCATTGATCACTCTTTTCACCTTGAAAGGACCAAGATATTTCCACCCAAGTTTTCGGCTAGGTCTTAAGACCTTAATGTTTTTAGTAGACACATACACAGATTCCCCAGGCTGCAGAGCCCACCCCTCTACCCTTCTCTCGTCAGCCTGACTCTTGTATGCCTCATTGGCAGCATCCAAAGTCTTGCAAAGGAGCGGCCATGACTCCTTTAACCATTGACACAATTGAGCTGCATCCCCTAGCCCCAAGTCATTGTTCCCTTCCAGGAAAGGCACAGGTGGGCTATCGTAGCCATACAAAGCCTTAAATGGGGACAATCCGGTCGAGGAATGGCAAGTGTTGTTATAACAAAATTCGGCTAGGGCAGCAGATCCACCCAATCATCCTGTTGATAATTGGTGAAGCAACAGAGATATTGCTCCAAAGTTTGATTAACCCATTCCGTCTGGCCGTCAGTCTCTGGGTGATAGGTGCTGCTCAGGCCCCGTTCCACCCCCATTAATTTCATCAGCTCCCCCCAAAACCGGGAAACGAATTGGGTTCCCCTGTCAGACACCACCTTGGCTGGGAGCATGTGCAAATGGACCACGTGAAAAAGAAACGCTTTGGCCAGTGCTTTTGCTGTGGGCAGGGAGGCAAATGGAACGAAATGTGCCTGTTTGGAAAATAAATCCACTACCACCCAAATGACAGCCATTGACTTGCTTGGTGGGAGATCCGTAATAAAGTCCATGGATATCACTTCCCAGGGCCGGCTCGGATTTGGGTGAGGGTACAATAAACCTGGGGTTTTTCCTGGCTAGGGTTTACTCATGGCACAGATTTGGCAAGACTTGACAAATGAAGATAAATCCTTCCTCAATTGTGGCCACCAAAACTGCCGTTGCAGGAGTTGAAGGGACTTAACAAAACCCGGGTGTCCTGACATTTTAGAGCCATGTACGGCATGCAACACCTCCCCCCTAAGGGAGAGTGGAGCAAACAGTTTATGTCCACAGTACCAACAGCCATCGGCCCAAAGTTCAAAGTCTCCTTCTGCATCTACCACCGCCTTGTCGCCCTCCGAGAAGGTGGAGGCAAATTTGCTGTGCCATGTCTCCCCCCCCCCCGGCTTGTCTGACTGGGAAGTATCAGGGGGCCGTGACGCAGGGGGGGAGCCGGCGGGGCGAGTCTGGCTACGTGTCATCACCGCCCCCCCAAATGGGAAGGCGTGAACACCGAGTCCAAAATAATCTCCCGTTGGATGCCATGTTGGGGGAGGTGTGACAGGGCGTCAGCCAAAGAGTTCGCGGAGCCAGGAAAATGGTGAAGGGTAAACTGAAACTTGGAAAAGAAATCAGCCCACCGAAGTTGTTTTGCATTTAGGCACCGGGGCGTTTTGAGTGTTTCCAAGGTTTTATGATCAGTCCTCAAACGGGACTCACGCTCCCTCCAGCCAGTGTCTCCAGGTGGCCAAGCCGAATTTTATTGCCCCACCTTCTTCTCCCAGACTGACCAATTGTGTTCTGTGTCATTGAACTTCCTTGACACATACGCCAAGGGGTGGAGGAGCCCATCCCCTCCTTCTTGGAGAATCGCCCCCCCCATGGCCACGTCTGATGCGTCAGTTTGAACAATGAATTTTTTCGTTTCATCTGGGTGGGCTAGGACTGGCTCCGATGTAAACAACGCCTTAAGGCGTTCGAAAGCTTCCTGGCATTTCCCATTCCAAGCCAACGCTGCCCCTGGCTTGGTTGCCTCCGGACTCTTCCCTTTCGTTTTTAACAAGTCCTGAGTTTGCTGACCTGGGCAAAGTTGGGCAAAAAAATTCTGTAAAAGTTCGCAAATCTGAGGAAGGATTGTAACTGGCGCCTGGTGTGGGGAACCCTCCAGCTCAATACATCCGGTACTTTCCCCTGGTCCATCTCCCAGCCCTTACCGGAAATCCGATACCCCAGGAAGTCAATGCGGGGCTTGTGAAACTTGCATTTGGATAGTTTCGCAAACAGTTTGTGCTTGTGCAACGTGGTTAGAACTTCCCTCACCAATTTCACGTGGGAGGGTAGGTCGGGGGAGTACAGCAAGATATCATCTAGGTAAACAAGCGCCACCTTGAACAAATGCTTGTGCAACACCTCATTGATCAGATTCATGAAGACCCCCGACGCCCCCTGAAGACCGAACGGCATCAAGCAATACTCAAACTGTCCCAGGGGTGTATTAGAGACAGTCTTATGTTCGTCCCCCTCCCTGATACGGACCTGAAAGTAAGCATCGTGGAGATCCAACTTCAAAATTTTTGATCAAGGGCATGGGGTAAGCATTGATCGAAGACACCGCATTCAATCCCCGGTAATCCGTGCACAGCCTCAACCCCCCATCTTTCTTCTTCCAGAAGAGAACCGGGGCCGCAAAAGGGGAGGAGGCCGGCCTGATGAAAACCCGGGCCAGGTTTTTATTGATACATTTGTGCAGTTCGTCTTTCTCGGCCAGCCCCATTGCATAAATGCGCCCCTTGGGTAGTTTTTGACCAGGCAATATTTCGATACTGCAATCCGAATGTCTATGGGGGGAAACTCATTGGCTTCTTCCTCTTCGAACACCCTAGCTAAGTCACGGTACTCAGGGGGAATGGATCGTAGCTCCTCTTGGGCCAAACACACTCTAGGAGTTTCCACTACTGGCCCCATTGTGGGTTCCACCGGTGCCCTTGACACCGAGGTGAGATGAACTGCACTTTCTCTTCATCCCACAGGATGTATGGATCATGCCCATGCAGCCAAGGGCCCCCCAACACCAGCGGGAATCTGGCAGCTGGGGTGATCACGAACGATCGTTCCTCCCAGTGATCCCCCACCCCAACCCGCAAAGGCACAGTCTCGTATTCACATGGTTCTTTCATAGTTGACCCATCCATTTGGGTTAAAATCAAGGGGTCTTCCAACTTCACCACCTCTGCCTCCAGCCCTGTAACTAAGGAAGGGTTGATAAGGTCCCTCCCACACCCTGAGTCAATGAGTGCTCGTACACGGATGTGTGTCCCAAGGGCTGGGTTAATTAGAGTCATAGTCACGAAAAACAAGGGGGGGAAGCTGCTCACCACTTTCGGCGCCTCCGGGATCGGGCCCTGCTGTTCCACGCCTTTCACAGCAGGACCTGGCCTTTTCCCACCGTCTCGGGGTCTTCCTCGCTGGAATCCTCTTCCACTTCCTCAGGGGCTGCCTGCAGTGCCTTGGCAAATTTCGGATTCCCTGCCGACTTCTTTGCCGGGGTGGTGAGGCGTACTTTCGCGGGAGCGATCGTCCCCTGCTTCCCTGGACCCACATAAGTATGTTGGACCCACAGGAGGAAAACATACTTAAATTGGGGAAAGTAGGGACCTCAGTGGGGTATATTGTCCCAGAGGCGACCTCCAAAGCAGCCATTTTATCCAGGTGAACTTATCTCTTTTGTCTGGAGATCAGTTGTAATTCCAGGAGATCCCCTGGCCTCACCTAAAGCTCAACATTGTCTTTTGGGACTGGCAGCAGATTCATACAGAGAAAGGTCCTTCTCTGCACTTTTTCTTGGAAGTCCTGGAGATGGAGTTGGTGGGGACTGAACCTGTGATATTCTGCACCCAAAACATGCGTTCCACTGTTAGTCCAATACTGTCTATTTCGAGGGGCTTTGCTAGGTCTCGTACAAGGACCTTTCCAAGCCCTGATACTTGAAATCTTTTTAACTGGAGATACCAGAAGCTGAACATGCGGGTTTTGATCCCACCCCTTAATACACAATCAAAATACCTTCAATGCCTCCCACTGCACAAACTTCTCTTGATTTTCCTGCCATAAAGGCAAACAAAAGCACCTTCTTGGTTATGACTTTGTATTCTTCTGTGAGCAAAAATTGTATTTTCTCTTGATTGTAGTAAACTCCCCACCAACTATTGGGATTTTTGTTCTTGCCTGCTTGTACATGGAGCTTCAGTTCCACCTTGAAAACAGATCGCTTGTAACAATCCAGGGAGAAATTCAGTTGAGTCTAAATGAAGGAGTCCCAACTCAGAAGGTAACTTCTTGAGCTCTGCGTCTTCCCATTGCCCTGTTTCCTTCGGTTGTCTTTGCTTCTCCAGTATAATTGAAAGGGATCACCACAGCCTGGAGGGCATTAGCTGTAAATTCTTCCGAAGAAAAATAAATGTGACCCCCCCCCCTCCTAACTTCTTTTTTCAGCTTCGAAAGAGTTGTTCTGTTTTGGTTTGAAATAATGATTGCAGGGAAGTGTAACCCCAAGGCTGCGGGGGCCTCTAAGCAAATAAATAGGTTTTATTAATTAACATTAGTCCCTAGCAAATGAGCTCCCAGTTTGATCGTGGCTGTCCGAATTAGCAAAAATAAACAACGGCTGCTGACGGCTCTTAATGTGGATTTAACACATTCACACTCTGCCTTAATCAGAAAAAGCCTGCGGGGACGTCCCTCGTTAGCCAAGAAATCATTTGGAAAAAGGCCTTTCCTTATTCCCGTGATGGCTCTTGGTAAACAAGGGACTTCCTTTACAGGCAGGGAGCTGCACGAGGCCTTTCCTAGACTGCACTACTTCTGATTGCTTGTAGGGGTTCCAACCTCTAGGTGGAGACTGGAGAGCCTTCCAAATCTCCAGACAAGAGAGATCAGTTCCCCTGGAGAAAATGGCAGCTTTAAAGGATGAACTCCAAGGCATTACACCGACCTGGTAGTGCCACCGGGGGGGGGACCCTGGGGTTGATGCCCCCCTCACGAATGTCCCTGGCCCCCTCCCCTCCCAGCCCCTCCCCCAGAATCTGGGCACAGCAGCAAGTGGCCCCTGAATTCCTAAACTTCCCAGCAGCTGCCTCTTCTGCTTTGTTGTGCTGCCACCAGGCTATCTGGTGCTCCCTGTCGGGCTTTGGCAGGGCTGCTGCATCGCACATGCTTGGGGAGTGCCATCTGATACCTGCTGCATAGCATGCCTAGCCCATGCGAGCTTCAGAGAGGGAGACCTCTCCAAGTGGAGCAGGGAGGAGCGGGGTAGGGGGCAGACATTTCCCACTCCTTTCTGGCTGCAGGGGCCTTTGCCTTCCCTGCCCCCCCCCCCCGGTCTCCCCTGCCCTTCTTAGGGGCCACGGCTGGAGTCCAGGCTTGCCAGGTTTCATTGTCAGCCGCGTAGGGGTGAGGGAGAGCCAGTGTGAGGGCAGGGCAGGAGATGCGAGGAGGGAGTAAAAGGTAGCTGCCATGGCCGGGGGGTGGGGGAGAGGAGTGGGGGATAGCCACGAAAGGCGGCTATTGTGTGCCTGGACCATGGCTGCTTCGGAAAGCAAGATCTGGGAGAGACAAGCCTCATCGCTGTGGAAAGTGTGAGAGTCTGGCCCCCTCTGTCCCTCGGGGATCTGGGTCAAATTCTCGAGCTCCGCCACTTCAGACAAACCACCCGTTTCCTCTCAGCTGTGGTTCCTTCATTGTGTGAAAACAGCCCCCAGGGAAGCTATGGGGAATCTCACGATCTTAATTAGAGTACCACTAAGTAGCGGTGGCTCAGAGGTTAAGACACTGAGCTGCAGACCGGAAGGTCTGTAGCTCAGCAGTTTGAGACCCAAGTGCCACATGGCAGAGTGAGCTCCCGTCTCTGGCCCCAGCTCCCGCCAACCTAGCAGCTCGAAAGCAAAACATTGCAAGTAGATAAATAGGTACCGCTTTGGTGGGAAGGTAACAGCATTCTGTGCACCTCGGTGTTTAGTCATGCCGACCACATGACCACGGAAATGTCTCTTTGGCTTGGAAACAGAGATGAGCACTGCCCCCTAGAGTCGGATTTGACTAGCTTTCGAGCAAGGGAAACCTTTACCTTTAGTAGATCACTAATCTAATTAGTGGTAATCTAATTAAGACCCACTTTCGATCTCCCCCCCAAAAAAACCCTTCATAGCTATGTATGTATGTATGTATGTATGTATGTATGTATGTATGTACGGTATGTATGCATGCATGCATGCTATGGGGCTGGTATTACACTCGGCTTAGGTTCCTCCCCTCCACAAACCCAGCCTCCCCCACTGGACCCCCAGATTCCACTCGCCAAATCTCCAAGAATTGCCCCCCTCCAAAGCAGCCATTTTCTGCAGGGGAACAGATCTCTCTTGTCTGGAAATCAGTAGTAATTCTAGGAGGATTTCCAGTCCCCACCTGGAGATTGGCAACTCTAGTGCAGAACAATATGCATCATGTTGAATGCAAATTTATTGATGCACCAACGGTGTGCATGGTTTTGACAGGGCAAAAACCTCCGTGCAAGGAAAAAGAAAATGCAGTATTAAGGGTTCCCACGTTCAGTTTGCACAAAGGAGAAATGAAATAAAGATGGGAACGTTTCAGGTCCAAACAACAGAGACAAGAAACTCAGAATGGTCTCTAGTTCAGGGGCAGATCCTCAGGAAGATCAACATGGCACCAGAGACACATTCTTGGAGCGATCTGGCTGGGTGGGGTTTAGATCCAGGCTGGGCCAGCTGCAAAGCAAACACCACAAAGCCAAGAAAACCACCCCCGTGATATCTTTTATTAGAATCCACCCAATGACACCGAAGAGTGTGCCATCTTGCAAGTTCATCACAGGGAAATGCGGGAAGATCGATCAAGTGTCTTGCCACTATTTGATGGATCTTCTGGCAAGGCGAACAGGCAGACGTGTGTGTGTGAAGTGCTGTCCAGTCACTTACGACCAGGCCCGTAGCGACCACGGGGCCCACGGGGCCGGGCCCCCTAGTGGTTTTTATGGGCCCCTCCCTGAGCCATGGACATCAGGCTGCCCCTTGTGCCGTGCCGTGGGAAGAGGAACTGGGCCTCCTTGGGGGGGAGCCGGACGCTCTGCAGGGAAGGTCTGCCCTTGCTGAGGGGGGATGGAGGGAAGCTTCGGCCGCTGGGCATTACCCCCCTTGCCCTGGAGCCTGGGGGGTACAGGGCTGCCTTAGGCGTTCTAAGGAGTCCCACCAATTACATCAAAGTTAATTTAATTAACTTTGTTTTTAATTGGCTACTGCCCCCCCCCAAGAACCCCTCCCCAAAAAATCTCTAGCTACGGTGCTGCTTACGACATACGGTGACCTTATTCTGCACATAATTTCTAGGCTTTGTATGCCGAACTACCAAATGTGTCCGGTGTAAGGACACAAGGCAATGAAATCTACAAAGCCAGCAGCAAAAACTGGAGAACAGAAACCATTGACAGATACAGAAATTATAGAAAGAAACCTAAACGGCTCCCTCCACCCTTCTCGTACCCCATCCAGTTCCTGTGTCTTGCCAGGGCTCAGTTTCTGCCTTCTTCTTTGCCAGCAGCTCAATGCCGACTGGCTGTCAGGAATAGAATACTGGAACTCTCTGGGATTGAATGTATGTTCTGAGTCCTAAATGTACCTTTTGCTCTGCCAAACAGCAATCCCTGGCATAGGGATTGGGTTAGCCGGCAGGAGCAATTTGCTTCCAGCGCCATAAGGCTCG